CGGCCTCATGACCCTCTCTCCAGCCTGCACACTCCTCCCCCCGCCCCCCCACCATTTCCCTCCCGGCCTGGACTGAAGGCCCAGGGATGTCCTCAAATGGAAAACACTACATCAAAAGGGCCATTACTGCTGCTGCGAGAGCTCCAGCATCTCCCGTCGGGGCCTTTATCTCCCAGGACCTGACCTAAAAATCTTCCAACCTGACGCCAGCCCAAAAGGATAACAAAAACAACAAGAATGAAAAAATACTGGTAGCTGTCACTTATTTGGCATTTAAACGGAGGCCCAGAGAGGTTAAGCTATGCCCTTAAGGACCAACAGCCATGAGGTGGAAGAGCTGAAGTGTTAATTGAGGTTTGTTGGGATCCTCTAAACCAAACTTCTTCACTGTCCAGAGAGACAGCCCCTTCCTCTGCAGCCTCCTGCCACCGTTCTAGTCCCAACCACCAGTTTTAATTTTTGAATTCTAATCTACCCCCTGCCAGCGTCTTCACCCACCCCTCTCACCGCAGCCATCCTGCTGCACTATCCTCCCTCACCACTAGGTGTCCCCTCAGAGCCACTGATGCCCCCAAGGGGAGCAAGCCCCGCCCTGCTCCCCGGAGCCAGCAGCCCCCGCCCCAGCACAGCACACCCCACCCTACCCCCAGACACACAGAGCTCCTTTGTGCGGCCCTCGCCCACCCCCTTCCTGCATGGAGTGGGGCACCTGGCAAGCAGGTCTGCCCTAGACCCGCCCCGGCCAGCCCCCTGACCTGGGTGCCAGGTGTGCAGGCACCACAGCCAGCTCTGGCTGAACCCGAGGGTCACCCTGCCTGGAGGCCCTCCCTTCCTCCCTCCGAGGTCACCCAGGGACTGTGCTTCCCGCCCTGCTCCGCCCCCATCCCCTCCTGCCCTTGGCCCTTCCAGACTTCTGTCCTTGTCTTTCCCTCCGTCTCCCAGAGGACTCCCCTCCTCCAGCCCCACCAGGCCCTCCCCACAGCCTCTCACCCCCGCCCACCTCCTTCCCCTGAGAGCTCCTTGTTCCGCCCCCCACCCCTCCCTGCCCAGGTCTGAAGAACTCCTCCTCTTGGAAAGTTGCTGCTGGAAAGGAAGTGACTTCAGTGATTTGGCCACAAGGCTGGGCACTGCTGAGCCCAGCTCAGCTGAAGGCTTGCCCAGCCCACCTCCAAAGCACAAATGGTGCCATGTGCACACAACACCCAGCCCCGAAACATGCTTTCCCAGGGACACACATAGAGATCCCAATGTGTACACACACCACACCATCCAGCGAACCCACCTATCACCTCAGGGTGTTCAGATTCTTGTCTATACACCTCCCCAGTGTAGACTGACACCCTGTACACATACACCATCCGGTGTGGCACACACAACACTCCAGTATTCCCACACCTGCCCAGGGCACACTCTGAATCCTGCATACCCCACTCCAATGTGCTATATACACAACCCTCCAACACCTCCAGCTCAGTCCACTTATATAACTCTTGTATCCAGAACCTTGCACACGTAAGGATAGAGCCCCCCACACACTAGCTTACACGCACACCTGTGTGCTTGTACACAAGATGCCCGCCACTTTTACTGTGGGTACACAGCCCTGCATCCTCCCACAACTGAACCTCCCCACCCTTACAATCCCAGGAGGCCCCACCCCCAGACCTCAGGCCCCAGGAATGCTCTTTTGGAAGTTGGGTGGAGTCCCCAGGCAGGCTGGGCTCTGGGGAGCTTCCTGGAGCCTGGAGGCTTCATGTGTCAGTTCAGGGAGTTGCCTCTGCAGGGCAGGGCAGGGCAGCCCCACCTGGCCTCTGTGGCTCTTGAGCCTGGGTGGGCTAGTGTGGGCCAGGAGCAGGGAGGCGGGTGCTGCCCCCTGCTCCACCTCATCCTGGCTGGGTAGCCTGGCGTACCTGAACGACTGGGTTCTCTCAGCACCTCGCCTTGGCGACCCAGCTCTTGCGTCCACAGATTTCAGTCCTGGGGGTGGGCTGCACACATCAGGCACTCTGGTTTCCACCTGTGCCCTGAGTTCCGCTCATTGTTACAAACCCTCTCTGCCCAGTTATCTCAGGTCATCATGGAGCAGGGAAGGGTCCCCAGACTAGGAGGCAGGACTCAGGAAACTTGCTGTGTACCCACGGGCCTCGGTTCCCCTTTCTGGGTAACGAGCAGTTTGAGTAAGTTGCGTTAATACATTTGGGTTCTATCAAGGGCCTCTTTTTGGCCTAAGCTGGGAGGGGGAAATCCCTGCTAGGACGGGGAAGTAAGTCCCCCTGCTGCCTACTTCGTGGGGGTGGCCGAAGCTCAGACCTGGTTTCCCTGTTCACTGTTACTTACCTGAGCAGGCTGTGCAGACAGGCCCAGCTCAGCAGGACAGGCCAGTCTTCACCAGTGATTCCAGGGTGGTCTCCGCGGCAGCCTGAGAGTTGCCCCGAACCCAGGGCCCTCTGCACGCACTTAGCTGGGCAGGCTCTGGGGTCCAGGCTGATGGGCAGACAAGCAGGCAAACTCCCATCTGTGGAAGCAAACAGCACCACAGGCTTAAGCACGGCCACAGGATGAGCCAGCCAGAGGAACCAGGAGGCGGTCCTAGGTGGGGTTCACTCTTGCATACAATTAAATCAGCTCAAACCTCATTTCACTGAGGAGCTGTGAACCTCGAAATCTCAGGTTCCTATTGGGAAGCAGTATCTTTGTATGTGTAGGTACACACATGCATGCACATGAACACATAGGCTATGGTGGAGCGAACCTGGCCTTGGGAGTTAGGTAGTCCTTGGCTCAACCCTCACTAACTGTGTGATCTTAGGCAAGTCAGTTAACCTCTCTGGCTCTCAGTTTTCTCATCTATTAAGTGGGGAGATCTTGTGATTGGGGAGGAGCCCTCTGGGGAGACTATAAAATGCTAAGAGCTTCTTTATAGTGCAGGTGTGAGTTGCTGTGCGGAGTGATGGTGTACTCAGATTTCCACGAGGGATGTACATGCAGCTGGCACTTGCCCTCCTCTATCAGATGGTTATAGCTCTTGTTTTCTTTAATAGCCAGGGCCCTTCGCACTGTCCTGCTGCTTCCTGCCTATTAGTCTGCCTCCTTGAGGTGTGTACTGGAGCCCAGAGGGGATCTGAGAACTCGGCCTCATAGATTCCTTACAGGTTCTGGTTGCCTGGGGATTTGTATGTGTTACGAGATCCTGCCTGTATGATGCACGTCTATGAGTGTTCAGCTGTCTGGATAAATATACCTGTGTGTGGGGTCCTGGGTCTACTTAGCCTTCTGTATGCTTCTCTGTGTATTTTTGTATGTCTGTGCAGGTATATGTATGTCTAAGAGTGTACATGTATGGGATTGTGTGCCTGACGTATACCTGGATTTGGTGTCTTACATGTGGGTGTGCGCATCTGGGTCTACTCAGCTTTGTTTCTGTCCACCTGAGCCTGTGTTTGCACACCTGTGAGGACAGAGGTGAAAGTATGTGGCCTATGTATGAAAAGGTGTGCCCAGCTGTGATCAGGCCACAAGTGTGCCTCTCTGCACACACTCGGCCTGGCTCTCTGCACGCTCTGTGTCAGAAGCCGCACCAGCGTTTGCCTGTCTCGGAGCTCTCTGATGTGTGTGGTGGGGCGGGGAGGGGGAATGCAGCTAGTCCTCTGCTGTCCCTGCAGGTTTCCAGTCTCGAGGCCTGTGACTGGGCACTGGTGTCACTGTGGATCAGTGTTGCCTCCCTCCTACCTCTGCCTTTCTCTGGGTTTCCAGGGTCATGGTGTGACGGCATACTGGTCACGGTGTCCCCGTGGGTCTGTTTCGCCGTGGGTCGGTATGTGCTCATGCCTGTGTCCATGCACTTGTGCACTGTATGACCTTATTACTGTGTCTGTGTGTGTCGATGGGTCCTTGGTGCCATGTCATTCCGTCTGTGCTAGTATAGCTCTGTCAGTGTCAACACGTGTGAGAGGGTCTGTGTGCCAAAGTGTGCCTGTCAGAGCAAGGGTGCCTCAGAATCTGTGTGGTACCTTTGTGTAACTCACCAGTGCGTGTGTGAGCGCATGCGAGAGACCCTTTGTGAGGCAGTGTGTGTCTGTGTCACTGTGTTTGTATGCCTGCTTCCCTCCTCCCTATCTCCTGCCTTCTTTCTCTCTCTCTCTCTCTCTCTCTCTCTCTCTCTCTCTCTCTCTCTCTCTGTAGGAGCCAGACAGCTCCCCAAGCCTGGATTAGGGACAATTTATCCACAGGCAGAGAAGGAGAATTCCAACCTGCCAGAGCCTCCCTCCTCTGATCCATCCCCCCTTTCCCCGTGGTTGGGTGGGCACAGAAATGCAGCCCAGCAGCTCCCAAGCCCTCAGGGAGCCCCCACCTCTGCAGCTCCCCAGGGGCGCAAGAGGGTGGAAAAGATGGAAATCCGGGTGGCTCCAGAGCCCTCCAAGGGGGGTGGACTGGCTGCCCCCCGTCCAGGCCCCCACAGCTCAGCTCATCTTGGCCCTGTTCTCTTACATATGGGGGTGGCGGTGGGGAGTCTGCATGGGGTCTGCCTGGCCCTGGGTGCTGGGGCGGATGTGGGGGGGACCAACGGAGCAAAGCTGCTCCCAGCCCCTCCAGAACCTGATACTCCCCAACTGATAAATGACAGCTCCCCCAATCCCTGAAATGTAAATGACTAGGGAACTTGCAACTGTGCCCACACAGGCTGGGGGAGCCAATGGGAGGCGGGGGACAGTGTGGTGGGGGGAATGCAGCGAGGGGGGAGCAGGGGCTGAGCTGGGACTAAGGCTCCCTTCACGGTGCTCCAGGCGCAAGGCAGAATCACATGTTTTCCATTAGCTGCTCTGGCCTCCTTGTTCAGGGGGTGTTGGCTGGGGGAGATTTGTTCTGGTTGCAGACACCAGCCGAGACCACACAAGAAAGACAGGGGGAGAGAGAGAGAGATTGAGTGCCAGAGGGAGAGAGAAAAACACAGAGAGGGAGAGAGAGAAAGATACAGAGACACCCAGAGGGAGAGACATGAGAGACAGTGACAATCAGAAACATACAAAACAAAAGCGGGGAGAGAGACTGGCGGACAGGGACAGTGAAGGGAAACGACAGAGGTGGCGCGGCTGGTCGGGTTTTGAGGGGATGGCAGCGCAGGGAGGCCAGCCCGACAGACGGAAACCGGAGGGTGATGGAGGCAGACAGAGGGAGGAGACCACGCACAGGATGAGCCAGGGAGAAGAGCTGGGTGAGGATGCCAAGTGGGCAGCAGCGGGGCCAGGAGGGCAGGGGACATGGGCGGAGACACCGGCAGATAGGCAGGGATGGCAGTGTGGGCAGGGGGAGAGGACCTCCGAGCTGGCCGGCGGGGGTGGCCAGCAGGCCGGGAGCCTCCGCCTCCTGACCCTCGAGCCTCAGAGAGATAACAGGCCCGAATAGTGCTGACTTGCGGTTCAGAAATCCAATATCCTCCGCGGCACACTAATCGACTACCTGAGCTCCGGGCCGCGAGAGCTGCCCCGATTAATCCTGCGGCTCCACAGCCTTAATTAGTTTAACAGTTTCAGGGGCAGAAGAGGCAGGGAATAGGGTCCCCCAGGCCTAGGGGGACAGCCCCTCATGCAAACCCTGCCCGGTGCCCCACCTCTCCAGTTACACCTGCCCCAGTCCCAGCGGCCCCGCTGCACACTGTCTGAAAAACACTGGGTCCTTCCTCCCGGGAAGCAGTCTCCAGGGTTGGCACCTGGGCCAGAAGGTAGGTCATGTGGGGATGAGACACCCCCCCCTCCCGACCCACACTTGCCCTGGTGCTCAGGGCCTCTGCTGGCCACCCCTCTGGGGTCCTGTGGTCTCCATGGGAAGGCCCCGCCAACTGTCAGCTCCATACCACCAGGCAACACGTTGTCTCTTGAGGGTGAAAGACAAACTCCTAAGTTACTGACAACCTCCCAACAGCATGGGATAATCGCACATGTCACTCCCCACAACAGCATGAGATGGGCACACGGTGACATCTCACACACACCCGACAGCTGGAGAGACAGGCATGTGATATGACTGACTACTCTCCTAACCTGTCACTTCCCACGAAGCATGAGATGGGCACAGCTGATACCCCAGACAGTATGAGACAGGAACACAGGCTATCACCCTCACAACGGCGGAACTAACACACACCCAGGTACCCCCACATCCAATAACTGGATGTGAAACGATTGGAGAACCTCCCCCCCAACCCCGACACAGACACAGGCCTCACCTTCCAGGTGTGAGGAGGATGCAGACCTACCCCCGCAACCCCAACCCATGGTGTATGCCAGGGATACAACCTCACTCCTTCCCCATGAGTCCTCCCTCCGGGCTGGGATGGGTACACGACCTGTTACCCCCTGACTGCTCAGGACAGGTGACAGCACACTCCCACCCCTCCCCCATCACCGCCAGCCTGGGTGGTGCTGTCCTCTGCCTGCAGAGGCGTCACAGCTCACAGGGCATGAATGTCACCCCAGCACTGCCAGAGCCAGGCACAGCCGCACGTTGCCCCAGTGACAAACACACTGGCCCCAGGAGGAGGTGGAAGTGCATGCGGCTCTGGGTGTGACCTTGGTCCCTGGACACCAGGAGGGGAGGTACACGGGCCTCCCTCCTGGGTAACCCAGTGGCCTGGTGCTGGGGAGGAAGCCGCCTGGGCACAGATAACCTGGAAATGCCACCCACCCCAAGTTCCCAGCCTCACCTCATTTCTAATTGAAGGTAGTTGTTATCTGGGGAGGGGGCAGAATGAGTGCTCACTGAAGCCTGAGGACCATTTCCTATAAGGCTTCTTAGAGATCGGTGGAGGGGAGACAGGTTTTGGGTGGCTGTCACCATGCCCTCAGGGCACAGGACTGAGGAGGGAGAGATGATCGCTTTAAGCCCCCCACTGCTACCAGGGGAGCCCCTCTTTCTTACAAAGGCCGCCCTCCTCGTCTCCAAATTCAGACCACAGAGCCTGACAAGAAGGCCAAAGTCCAGGGGCATGACTCACCCAGGGAACAAGCCCAGCCTGCTGGCCAGAGTAAGGGAGGCCTGGGGCCAAGGGGCCTGGGTTCAAGTCTGAGCTCCTCCCAGGCCAAGCTGAGTGACCCTGGAGCAGCAGCTCAGCCTCGGGCTTTGGAGTGGGGGGAAGGGGTAGCAGCCAGGAAGTGTAAGGGTCTGAAAGTAGTTGAGGCTGGAGACCAGCAAGTAGAGCACTGGGGGGCCATGGGAAGGAGGTAGAACAGAGTAAGTGCTCATCCATCCTTGGCTCCACCGCTTCCTCACCTTTCTGCACCTCAGTTTGCTCATCTGTAAAGTGGGGATAATAATGTCGGCCTCAAGAGACAATGTGGCAAAAAGTGGGCAGGTGCTCAAGAAATGGGAGCTTCTTATTGAAGAGGGGGAAATAGATAAAGAGAGGGCAGGAGACTTGGCCAAGCCCCAGAGGAAGTTAGCACCAGCTGAGCTCAGCCTCCACCTCCTGGCTTCCGACTAGAGCTGGTTTTGTAAGACTGCTTGGAGCTCCATCATGTG